TCTCTCTCTCTCTCTCTCTCTCTCTCTCTCTCTCTCTCTCTCTCTCTCTCTCTCTCTCTCTCCATCCAGGGCTTGTTGAAGATCCTAGAGGGAACAACAGTCAATGTTCAGGTCAAAGGAAGGTTAACACGCAGTGTGGATACCAAGAACATTCTCTTCGTCGGTTCTGGTGCGTTCAATGGCCTGGAGGAGATCATTGCTCATCGTAAAGAAGAAAAGGTCAGCGTGCTTTGGCTATTGGGCCGTGTTGGGGGAAGGGGGAGGGGGTGTCTTGTGCGTGTGGAGGGGTGAATATGTGCATGTGTGTTGGGTTCTGAGGGGTGGGGTGTTAATGTGTGCGTATACTGTGTCAGACTTAATCCTGAAAGGCCCATTGCACCCAAGTCTTGTTGATATGTATCTCAAACTCTTAGCCATTCTTCACCCTAAGTCGTGCCTTCTCTGTGACCTCTCTGTTGTCATTGAGCGCTTCGTATCTTGTATTTTCTTTCCATGCTACCTCAGGTACTTGGATTTTCCATGAAGTCGCCAAGTGATACTAACAGCCCTGTTGGTGGTGAGGCACCTCAGACTGAAGACCGCACTGAGGAGGAGATCAAAGCACTGAAGGCAGCTCAGAGGAAAGACAAGCTACTAGGCCAGGTTGGTGGCTCACACCCAAGCTGGTTGATGTATTTGTGTGTGCGAGCGGGGGCGTTTACTGCTTGTCTTTTCAAAAGCTGTCCATCCACCGCGCAGGTATAATACTACACATTCCTCCAATTGGATACACGTGTGCGCACTCACACACACACGTACACACTCTCTCTCCCTCTCTCTCTCTCTCTCTCTCTCTCTCTCTCTCTCTCTCTCTCTCTCTCTCTCTCTCTCTCTCTCTCTCTCTCTCTCTCTCTCTCTTGCTCTCTTTCTCTCCCTTTTCTCCCTCCTACGCTTTACGTGACCGGCTCTTCATGCTTCGTTGTATCTTGAGTATTTAGCACCCCATGCCAACATGCTCTTCTTGTGTATGCATGTGCCTCCTCACTGGTCCCGTTGTGATAGGTGAAATCTCACTCAAAGTGCATACTTCGCGTCTTGGACTTGCACGGCCCTTGACGCCCCGGAAGTGGTACGGGTGCCGCTGGACGTACAAATGTTCAACTACAGTGCTGTATTGGGAACTAGTCCAGGGCATCAGATTTGCACTGTGGGTCGGATTTCACTGTAGCACAGCCGTAGTTGTAAAAGTTCACACGTCCTCCGCTTTGACACCGGCTGCTACGAATTCTGTGTTGCAAAAGAACCACACCCAGCGTGGAAAGTGTCACATATGCCACGCTGCCAACATGCTGGTGTATAGCCGTGTCGACACTGACGGAAGCAGTGCCTCGCGTTGAGAGAGACTCGTTCTCACCCTCACCTTGTAGTCGTGTCTGCTGATGTTTGAGTCGGTGCATGTGTTTCTCTCACACCTTTCCTGTCTCCATTCACCATCCTTGTGTGCTTGAGGGCGCCAAAACAAAGCTGTGTGCTGTGAATGATATGTCAGCCTGGGGGTGTAGTGTGAATTTCATCGCACATCATTTCACATGCCATTCTGCACTTCTCTGTCTTATTAAACCACTGGGGCATGTTCAGATGTCCTCATTTGCTTGTGTAGCAGAGTTGTTTTGCCGTGTGTGGATGAAGTCTCCCAGGTAGTTTTCCTGCAGCTCAGGATGTACTGTTGAAGAAGCAGGCAGTTGCTATTCGCCTACATTAGTTTTAGTGTCTTAGTGGTAGTGGACATTGGCTTGCAGAGCAATGAAAAGTGGCATTTAACAGTATGCCATCAGTGGCATACTGATTTTGTGCCATGCTGTATTTGCATTTATTGCGTCGCCGCTATATTTCAAGTGCCTCCTTTGCTTGATATCTCCTTGCCTGGCAGTCGGTGTCTTGTAGGGTGGCGGACCCAGCCCATGTCTTTCTCGATCGCTCTCTCCTTCGTCTCTGGCATGGTTGTCCGTGTGCAGTTTCTGTTGTGTTGTTTTATACGAGGGTGTTTGTGTGTGTGCGTGTGTGCGCGTCCAACGTGTGTGTACGTGTGTGTGTGTGTGTGTGTATGTGTGCGTGTATCCTCATGTGTATGTTCAGGTGGAGCCGAGAGATCTCATCAAGTTTGGCTTGATCCCAGAGATGGTAGGCCGTATGCCGGTCATTGTTCCGTTGCAGTCTATGGACGAGGATTCTCTGGTTCGTGTCTTGACTGAACCTCGTCACGCTCTCATTTCTCAGTTCACACTACTGCTGGGAATGGACAAGGTGGGTAGTCTTCATGATGGTGGTGGTGGTGGTGGTGGTGGTGGTGTGTGTGTGTGTGTGTGTGTGTGTGTGTGTGTGTGTGTGTGTGTGTGCACGTGTGCACGTGTGTGTGTGTGCACGTGTGTGTGTGTGTGTGTGTGTGTGTGTGTGTGTGTGTGTGTGTGTGTGCACGTGTGTGCACTTGTGTGTGCACTTGTGTGTGTGTATCTGTCTGTATGTCCGTCTGTCTGTCTGTATGTGTACATGTGTGACTGTGTGTTGTATGTTTTGGAGAGTGTATTTCTCTCTTCATGTCGACGATGACTCTCTTCCCTTGGTATGCGGCTAGGTGCCAGATTTATGTCCTTTCGCAGAATTCTGTTTTTGTTGTCCTGTGTGTGTGTGTGTGTATGTGTGTGTGTGTGTGTGTGTGTGTGTGTGTGTGTGTGTGTGTGTGTGTGTGTGTGTGTGTGTGTGTGTGTGTGTGTGTGTGTGTGTGTGTGTGTGTGCTGTGGTGACAGGTGGATCTGGCGTTTGAAAATGACGCCCTGCGAGCCATTGCCAAGCGAGCACTGGAGAACAACACCGGCGCACGCGGACTTCGTTCAATCATTGTAAGTACATGTACAGTGCTGCTCTATTAAGTCCGGTCTCGTCACTCGAGCTTACGCCTTGCACCTTTTCGCAGCCCATTGTTCGCAGGTCTCGTGTAGGGCTGTGCAATGCCCGGTGCGTACTTATTTTATTTCACCGTCCAATGACAGAAGCCAATGCAAAGGAGTGACCATACTTGAGTGACCGGATCGGATTTCATTGATCAGCACTGTAGAACCGGCTTAGACGATCGCTGCTGTTGCTGTTCTCGGTATTGCAGCCCACTTTTTTCCCTAGATACAATGCTGGTCTGTGTCGTAAGATTGTCGTACATCTCGTCCAGTGTTGTCAGGATACTAATACAGTGTTACTCAATGGAATCCGATGGCACGAGTCAAGTACATGCAGGGTGCTGTGCAGCCCTAGACCTGCAAACACTGGGATGTCCGCTGGTGCAGGGCGCAACGTTGACTCGAGAGATCGGATCTCATTGAGCAGCGCTGTGGTGCATGTACCATGCTTTTATGTCTATGCTGTAGGCGTCACACACCACACATGACCTGCACCACACTGTACAAGTTGATTTCCTATGATGTGTGCAAGCCTTGTTTGATACTCCACTTTGTGACATGCTGTCATCATCATACATGTTGATCTGTACAGAACACCTACTGTCTGTTGACCACTGTACTGAACGAAATTGCCCACTGTACCGTAGCTACTGAAGTAGCTGAGAAACTAAAGGCGGTCAAGTCTCTGTTTTCGTAGCTAGAAGTGGCGTGTGTGTGTGTGTGTGTGTGTGTGTGTGTGTGTGTGTGTGTGTGTGTGTGTGTGTGTGTGTGTGTGTGTGTGTGCTGCGCCTGTGCGTGAAGGGATTCACTGGCCAGAAAAAAGCCACTTCATAGCTGTGTGGTGTAGACCAGGCTGAATAGTGGCGGTCAATTCTTCAGCCTTGCAAGGTGTTGAATGTCGCAATCCCAGCACAAGTTGCTATGGCTTCTGCTGTAGCATCGCTATCATCGCCTCCGGCGATGGGCGTCAAATGGCCAATGGTCAAATGGCTTGTGTGTGTCCTCTCTGTGTGCTTGTCTGCAGGAAAAGCTGTTGCTGGAGTCCATGTACGAAGTGCCCGGTTCTAATATCAAGCGTGTTGTAGTGTCGGCGGACGCAGTCAAGGGTAAGGCCTTGTGTTTCCAGCATTCTGGTGCTGTACAGTCAACTTAGCTAATAACGACTGCAGATATAACGACAATTCGTGAATAACGACAATTTCCATGCGCAGAGCAAAGTTCCATCCCACTGTGATACATAATATCTATACCGTAAAGTCCGCTGCAAACGCCCACCCCATCTTTGCAAGATCTGCTGGCATATACGCACTGACCCCATGCACTGTCACCCCTACTGTACGAAAGTGCATCTCATACCATAGCGCGAGGAGCGCTTTGCTACGGTAAACTATGTCCACTTTCCGGGTTTCAAAATGTTTTTGGGCACTAGTTACGAGCTAGCTCCTAGTGATTTTATGATGTTGGTTGTTTTATTTCGCAAATCCAAACGGGAGTTACTTCGGAATAACAAGGTAGCAAAGAACAGGCTATTGCAGGAACCAAGTACACTTCTGACGGTGTTTCAAACCATCATTTCCAAATCACGCAAAGCGCAATGGCAAGGGTTTTTCTCGAGCACTTCAGAGTTTTCAACAAGTTAGCAGCGACTTTGTAGGTGTAGCTTCTGTGACATCCCCTCTGTTCAACTTGCAACTGCAATACTGCGACCTGTAAAGTTGTTGAATGACGCTTCGTCAGAACAATCACCGTTCCATTCTGAAAGCGCAACGTCGTAGCAAGCACTGCAGAAATTTCATGACTTGAAAACCAGATGCTTTCTCATTCATCGTATGAAAGGAAATCTCGGCCGAAGTTTTTTTTCTTTGCAGCAAGATATTAAATGACAATGGCTTTTGCAGAGCCTCTTGGTAAGACATAGGCAGTTTGTAGGCATTATAGTCGTTATCGTACGCATTCGACCTTCATGCCAGTTTTCTACAACTATATTGACCTGAAAAAGACGAAAATAGTATGGACCCGCTGGGGTGGGCGTTTGCAGCGAAGTGGGCGTTTGCAGCGGACTTTACGGTGATGAGACTTCGGGTATAAGGACACTTCGCGAATAAGGACACTTTTCTGATGCCCCGCCGAGTGTCGTTATACGCGAAGTTGACTGTACTTCAAGTTTTATGGTGCTGGGAGAGCAATGGTAGAATCGATTCTCTTTCTGTGCATGATAACAGACGTGCAGTTCTACCTTGGCCATCCGAACACCGGCTATTTCAAGTCCTTGCATTGTGTACAGTATGCTGTAGAGTGTTTGTCTTGTCAACATGCAGTCTTGTGGGCGTACGGTTGCTTTTTCCAGTGTGTGCCTTACTCCCAGTATCGTCCCAGTTGAGTTTCTTCTTCTGTGGTGTTCTGTAGTGGAAAAAGCCTCCCTCATTAGGCGGTCTGTTGGGTGTGTATATGTGTGTGTGTGTGTGTGTGTGTGTGTGTGTTGTGTGTGTGTGTGATGTGTGTGCGTATGTGTGTGCGTGCGCGCGCGCGTGTGTGTGTGTTGTGTGTGCGTGCGCCTATGTCTTATTTCAGGTGTTTGTGAGCCTGTACACGAGTATCACGGAGAAGAGACGTCCGTCGACACCGAAGCAGAGGCAGTGCGAAACGCCTAAGCAGGATGAGATGTGTCTCTACCGTCAGTTGGTGTGCTTGCAGTTCCTGTGAGTAGCCGTGATGCCACTACTGCTGGGGCAGCAACACACAGCCTAGCTTGGTCAGTAATTATCTGCGATCTTTTTACGTCACTGAGCTTGCGAGAGTCGATCCAACACTGCTATGGCTGACATTGTTAGGGCACCACCGACCATGCACCATAACTCACTGGTGCCAATCGGCCAGCTGCCTGTCATCTCGTATGCTGGTGATTGCCCAATCCCCCCTGTCCTTGCCACCACCAATGGCTGGCTTGTTTCCAATTAGAAGACGTTGCTGCGCTTTCTACGGAGCAGCAGTGCTTTCTATTTTTGACCGAGCTTTGCTCGATTCCATTGTGCTATAGTAGTTCAGAACAGGACTAAGGGTCCTGCTGGCATTTGCCTAGGTAAGTTCTTGTTTTTCTATTCTATTTATTCTGCCCTGTCATGAGCATGGCTGTAGGAGTTGTAGTTGGAATGTTCTCTTTTTCTTGTTTAATATTGGGTTTCGTCTGGCTTATTCCGGAGTTTTGTCATTTCAATTTCCATTATAGATTTGTACTGTCTATATCCCACTATGACTACTGTATGCAGCTGCTACTTTGTATTGTACATGTATGTACCCCCCCCCCCCACCCACGCACACGCACCCACGCACACGCACCCACACACACCCACCCACACACTGTATCTATTCTAATTATTATTGTTTTAGTATAGCAACAAGGGCGACTAATTGCTTATTGTTTTTTGCCCCATTTCATGTTTCTGTTGTCATCTGCCAAGGCTGCTGGTAGCACATGTTTGGCAGCATTGTGGTTTGAGGGTGTGTGCCAGTTATTGCAGCGTTGTGCATCGCTAGACATGATAGACCCAGCAGTCGTATTTGTGCCGCATTATTGTCTCTCCTCTCTCTCTCTCTCTCTCTGCTCCCATGAGACCCCATACCAGACACAGAAAGGTAAACCCGGAGGAATACAAACAAGTCAAGAGACCTGGGTTGCGCCGTAACAGCATAGCCAATATAATTACTAAACCTACCCAATAATTCTAGACATGATAACAAAATGTTTACAGTAAAATTCGGAACAACGACTCGTTTCGGGCGGGAACAATTTCAAAGAGAGAATTAAAAAAAAATGGACGTCCGCACAAGCGGCATCCCAGTACAAGTCAACGATACTCCTGACTCGGCTGGAGAGAACACACACGATACTTGACCACACTCTAACTAAAAAACCAAAAACATAGCCAAGAAATACGAGGGTTAGGGCGGTGCTGAGGGAGTCATCAAAAAAATTTCCATTTCATGACTCGGTGGCTGCGTTATTGTAATCAATCTCTGAATCCGTTAAACATCTACATCATAATAATAGCAGGCTCTAAATAAAAATAGTAAAGGATATGTGTATTATATGGACTTGGTAAAGACTCAGAATTGTAATTGTCAAAATCAATCAATCAGTTGTATTGCAAATAGAAGAAAGCATTGTTTCACATGAACAATACCTAATCTGAGGGAATAGATGCTTTAGGGGGAATGGCGGTCAAGACACACACACACAGCCACCAATGCTTGGCCATCTGCGAGCTGCATGAGACACAGTGTCTGTTAGCTGCATGACGGTGATGTGCTTGTTGGAACAAGACGTACTCGAGGTGTTCAAAGCTCACTACATGAAGACGACTAATTGCACGCGTGTCTTTTCCGATTTTCAGACTTCTAATTGGCAAGGTCACCAGTGGTCGTAGTAAGCAGGGAATCAAGCAGCAAACACGAATGACGACCCACACGTTGTTGCAGACTCGGCAGCATGGCAACAATTCGGGCGACGAGACAACACGAGGAATGAGCAGAACATGGCATTGCTCTGCCGGGTTCATGTCTTCGCTGATCAAGAACAGAATTATTTATTACGTTTATAATGTAACGCCTTCGTACGGAGAACACTTGTCAATTCTGCCCCGCTGTGGCACTCACGGGGAACAGACTGCTGAGAAACGTGTTTCCCCCGCATTGAGACTGATGGGTTTCCCCGCTTTGAGACTGGGTTTCCCCGCATTCAGGATAGGTTTAGCCACGGTTGTTGCCGAACAGAACAGCTCGCACGAGTGCACATGCTGCCACGCCGGTCCATACCTTGTCCGCAGCCCTGGACGTACAGTGTAGCCCGATGATTGTCCAGCAATGGCATGCATCTCTTCAACACCACATCACCAAAATTAATACCACTGTGGACATTAACGTAACAGTTAGACGGCATGCGCGTGCGTCTCGCCAATCCCTCAGCTATGCATGCCGGCCAAGCTGCGCACTGCTGTAGACCATGCAGCACTGGAGCCAATGATTAGCTGATGCCATCCTGCTTGCTTGGATGCTCATGACGCGGTGTTTTCCCGCAGCTCATGGCGAAACCATAACGAGCAGGGTACATTGCTGGAGGAGGGAAACAGAAAAAAATGGCAGATACAATCATGTGATAACGCACCAACCCACACCCACCCACAGAGCCGGGTATGTCATAAGGCGCATGTACGCACTACCAGACGCATGTCATCGATGCATGCATCGACCGCCGCGGAAGCATGATGTGGTTGGTATTTCTGAACAGGAGAGGGGCATGGAACCTCATCATTTCGATGTTACGGCACACTAGATGTATTTATGGGGGGTGGGGATGGCCCAGCCCCATCTCCGCACGAGCCACACAATCCACCATGCATCAATGACGAACAGAGCATGAACCCTGGTGGCATAGATTTACCTTGATGACACGTTGCTAAACTGCAGTATGTAGCGACCTGGCTTGGGAGTAACTATCGATCCCTGTATGGTCTGTTTGTGTGAGAGATAACGCTTGAACGCCACCAGTGCCTGAAAGCATAGTGACACGAGAGGGACAACGGTGAGCAGCGGTTAAAGCAACACAGTTCTTCTGAATGTCAACAGGCAAATAGCCACCCATCTGACATTCATCACACGCATACATGTACACGTGAATGGTGCATTCTAGCAAGGCATACGTTGTGTGCAGACTTCATCCCACTATGGGTTGGTGGGTGTGGCAATGGTGGGCACCGACGGCAGCAAGACAAGCTACGGTGCCAGCTGCAGCAGCAACGACTGTAGCAGCAACAAAATCAACAGTAGCTGCAGCCAATTAGCTGGCCAGCCAACCAGCCTGGAGTTACTATAGTTACAAATATAATGAGTAAGCAGCACTGAGTCCTGCACTAGAAAGTTTGGCAGTGAAGCTTTCAGAGCTCGACCTCGGAACTATTTCACATGCTCATGTACCAGTGTATTGTAGATGACAACGATGAAGTACACACATGCACACTTAGCTGAATGTAAGCGACATGTCCTTACCTTTGCGTCATCAGACGGGTTAGGCTGGAACAACACTCCAAACGCAATACCCTGGGATGTGGGTGCAAGCAACCCCAAACACACACATACACGCACACACATGCATGCACAAGCACACACACACACACACACACACACACACACACACACACACACACACACACACACACACACACACACACGCACACACATGGGCACATTCCGGGATAGAAATAGGTAGGGAAATGATTGAATATGAGGCGTGAGCATGAATCAGAGACTGAGAAAGAAAAATTGAGAGGGGGGGGGGGGCGACTTGGAAGATGGTATATGTTGCAACTTACACTGTTGTCATCCACCATAGCAAAACATTCTCACAGACACTCTACTTGTACAATGTACATGGGAAGCTCTTGAGAGAGCATCGGGCAAATGTTTGGCACCAGGCATACCGGGAGTAACGGCAGCCAACCTGCCACAGTAAAACCTGTCAAGGCGACCACTCTGATAAGGTGACCGCTTGTCCCAGAAGACCACTGCAACTAGAACCAAGGGATGGTGATTCCATTCAAATGACCCTGGATAAGGAGACCACCTGATCACGGGGACCACCTTTGGAAAGTCCCCTAAGCGGTCGGCTTCCACGGTACGTGCAGCACTTCCCCAGAAAAAACTCACGTCCTCCCCCTGTGACATGGGTAACTCATGCTATACTGTAAAGGCTATCGGAAAGCGGCACTTTCCTTACCTTTGGTTCGGAGCGGAATTGCCAGACGATTCGCATGCCCGCCCTGGCGACGTCCACCGGCTCCCCGGCCATCGTATTGGGCTGCAGCGCGTAGGACACAAACTCTGAGCGGATGCTGGGACCGACGGACATCTCCGGAACCAGCTGACCAGTGGACGACGAGGCAGAGAGCGAGCGCACCGCACCCTTGCCGTGAGATTTCGGCGTCGACATTGCTGTTGGCAGGAATCGTCCCGCCGGTCTGCTCGTACCGTCGGGCGTGTTTGATCGTCGCATGCTCTCCGGCGTCGAAGCCCCGCTGTTGTTGTTGCTGCGTTGAGAGAGGTTGCGGTCGGACGAGGCACGTTGAGAGAGCTCTCGCGCCGAGTACGAGCGTTCCACGGCTGCAGCTGCTGTGGAAGGAGGTTTGCCGGCGTTGCTGGTCTTGGCGGTGCCGCGCAGGTCAGCCACACTGTGCCGCTGTGAACCATGCATCTCCTGGGGGAACACGCCAACACATGTACACAAGCACGTTATTTTCTATTGATCTACTTCAAAGTACGTTATAATCTATGAGGCCGCAGAGTGTAGAGGGTATGCGATGATGTCAAGTTCGCCTTATATGTGAGCTAGCTGAGTGGCAAACGTACCATGTGACATGTATTGCATAGCCTTTATACTTCACATAGCATTCTTACACCAACACAAACGCGCACACAGACGGTAATGGTGAATGAAGACTGATACTTGACACTGCTTCATGTCCTACTTTTCTACTCTGAGCAACTAGCCTACTCGATAGGTCCTGCAACTCCCTCGCCTCACGATTAGACAGCGGGTCGACGTCTCGGTCAGTTGTCACCATCCTCAGGAAATACGAGCTACAAAAGAAAGGACCGAAGCTTGTAGGTGCTCTGCTAAACACTGCTTGTCAACAAGCATTCGTCACTGCACTGCACATAGTCAGGGTACACCTAAGACAGTGTGCAATCCGATCAGGCCAAAGAAGAAAGGAGCTCTGCCTGCCGAACTCCGCTTTTAAACAAGCAATTGCAGGCTAACTGCTAGATTTGTCAAGTTGAGGTGCAATTAGATACAGCAGGATATGCTGCAGTCAGCCCCGCAACACCACAACCATCCAGGGGTGATGATCAGCACACACAGCACAAGACAACCACGGCGAGGGGCGATAGCTGTCACATGCGGCAGGATATGATGCAGTCAACACTGCAACACCACAACCATCCAGAGGTGATAGTCATCCCATACAGCACAAGACCACCACGGCAAGAAGGTGATAGTCGTCACGCACAGAAGGATATGATGCCGTCAACACTGCAACACCAAAGCAACCCAGGGGTGATAATCATCCCATACAGCACAAGACCACCACGGCAAGGGGGTGATAGTTGTCACATACAGCAGGATATGCTGCAGTCCCTGCACCAGCGGGCTACAGCCAGGGGTGATACACGACACAAAGTTTTTTTTATTACAATCAGCAAAATGTGAGAACAACAATGGACGAAGAACTCAACGGGTTCAAATGTAACCAGGGCTTGTTGTTATGACCGGCGATACTAGTGATATTGATACCTGCCACATACTGTACTGCTCTCCTGCATGAGAGACAGAACTATCCTGTGGGACAACGCCTCCGCTGGGTAGTGTGCATTCACACCTTGTTGCAAAAGAAGGATCCACGAGCGGGATTCGAACCCAGCACCCCTGTCTTTCCGGGACAGTGCCCTACCGATTAGGCTACTGGGGATCACACACACACTCATGGGTCCTTCTTGCTACACTGTACAGGACGTTAGCGCCATGCAATGGTCAATAGGTGCGACGCCCTGACTGGCGACCACTGTTGTGACAGACTCTATCGGAGCACCTTTGCCAGTCTAAAACTAACATTGCGGTGGCAGAATCTACGGCAGCACCTTTTCCCAGTCCTAAACTAACACCGTTGCAGCAGATCCTGGGGCAGCACCTTTACCAGTCCAGACCTAGCACTGCTGTGACACAGACTACAGATCCCCTACCACCACCTGTATGGTGTGGTTGAGACTATTGCCATGTACACACAGAACACACCATACCGGCATCCCAACACGTAGCTATGTAGGTGCGTCAGACACGCTACGGTCACTATGGTATGGACGGTACCACTTTTTGCCCCAGGTACCCCGTGAATAAATAAAATACACTAGTTGGGCTCCAAATTTCTAAAATGTTAGACTCAGCTCCCCCCCCCCCCCCACCCGAAGTAAACTGCACTTCAGATGGCTGACTGTACCACACTAAAATACCTTCCGACACCCCTGCTATGGTATTAACGGTATCACTTGTTGCCCCGAGTACCCCCGTGAATCAATAAAATGCACTGATTTGGGCTGAAATTTCAAAAAACATACTAGCACACTTGATGGTCCACTCCCGATACCAGCACTACTCCGGACATTGTCAATCCTTTGCTTAGGCAACAGTATTGTGATGCGAGACTTACCGGTGAGCCATCCAGAGCATCGCCACCCTCCAACACGATGATCTCGTCGTCCTCAGAGGCCGTTCCCGTCCTACCGTCCGTGCCAAGAAGCGACCGGCTGGATCCGGCAAGGGATGCCACCGAAGCCGTCTTGACGGGTACGCTAGCTACCACGGGCGAAGGCTGTGCTCTCGGGTTCTGCACTCGTGTGTCTGCTTCCCGCTGTAGGCCATCGTCCTGCGATTGCTTTGGGGTTGGCGGTACGTACACCGGGAAAGCCGGCGCAGAGTCGTCGAGCATTTGTTGTCGGATTGACGAGGTGAGGGTAGCCGTAGCCTGCGACTCGGTCATCAGCGAGTAGACGCGTGACTTGATGACGCCTTGTCGTCGTGAATGCAACATGTCATGGCACTCGTTGCACACACGCGACGGTTGGCTGCAAGTGCAGGAAGAGTGAGAGAGACATAGACGAGACATAGAGACGATCGATAAAACGTAACCTCGTGAGAAAAAAACCTGACGAGCAAAAATACACCTAGCAAAGAATACAAACAAATGTCAGTCACATACCCTGGATACGTGCATGTTGGCATGACTACTCACCCAGCATAGTAACCATGTGCTGGATGTGCTCATACACTCCTCCCTGCACCCTTGTACCATGTTCTCTCACTCCCTCCTCCTGCCCTACCCCGTAAACATACACACATACATACATACACAACACACAGGCGTAGACACACACAAACACATACAGACACAGACACTGACAGACACAGACGTGCATGTACACACACACATGCATGTGCGCACACACACATGCACGTGCACTCTCTCACACACACACACACACACACACACACACACACACACACACACACACACACACACACACACACATACACACACACACACATGCATGTGCACACACACACACACACATGCATGTGCACACACACATACACACATGCACGTACACCCACACACCCACCCATACACACACACACACACACACACACACACACACACACACACACACACACACACACACACACACACACACACACATGCACGTGCACACACACAGACACAGACACATACACCCACCCACCCACCCACCCACCCACCCACCCACACACACACACACACACACACACACACACACATACACACACACACACACACACACACACACACACACACACACACACACACTCATGGTACCAGGAAGGCAAGAGCAGCATTGAACAGACAGAGAAAGCCTTCCAGAAACGAAAGGTACTTACTCGCTGCTGGGTAGCTGAAATGTTTTGCAGCAGCAGTCGTAACAGAATACACGGCCACAGTGACGGCAATGATGCTAGTATGGGCACAACAACAACACAGATACAGTAAAATCTGTCAAGGCGACCACCTGTCCTAGAAGACCACTGAAACCAGGACTAGGGGATGCTATTTCCAGTCAAACGACCCTGGATAAGGAGACCACCTGGTAACAGAGACCGCATTTTGAAGGTCCCTTGAGAGGTCGTCTTAGACAGGTTTCACTGTACACACACAACCACACAGGAGCATTGCAAGGTCCATGCGCAAGCAGGGTTAAAACAACCATCCCATATTGGTGTATTCTGCACCGGAGAAGCACCCAATACACTTGACAACATTCGTATGCCGTTTGTTTTCCATGAATGTCGGTGAGAAATCATACTCCCTCACACAATTAAGTACATGTTTCCGTGCATGTCACGATAAGTGGAGTTAGCAACACACCAACATACTTGCCATAGGGTTACTTACCCGCCTTGTGAACAGTGAGAATTCCACAGCACACTGCATGCAAGCATCGGCCTGGTTGCACAAACAATACGGAAACAAATCAATTTGTAATTTTAATCCAATTAAGGCTACAGGTCATAGCACCCGGGCTCTTCACTCCTTATTTGGCACTGAAAAGACGCATATATACGTCTTCAGCGCCTGGGCGTCATTTCTAATGACGTATATATACGTTTTCGGCGCTAAATGGGTTAAAGTAAAGGAAACACATAGGAATATTTTTCTGCACATACCCGCTGCATACTCTCCACACTGTAATTTTGTAAATGGCAGCATGTACTCTCGCACAAGCACAATAACGTTATAATACCTGCCCACGTTAGTACATTGTACCCGTTGCACAAATCCCTGAATATCGGCCCGTACCACACCCATACACACAGAGCAGTTGGTGATTTCGTTACAGAATTCATGCACTCCGGCTGCACTCTCACTGAAGTACTCTCGCATGTCCACACACCTCCACACATTAGCATTGGCAAACAAATCCTTGTCCATGCAACAATGTTGCAATATCGGCCCGTAGCACGCACATACACACAGCGCAGTTAGCGAGTTCTTCGCAAAATTCATACACTCTGCCCGCACACTCCCCTGCAGTAAGCACCCCCACCACCACTATACCTGGTCATCTGCAACCCATGTCACGACTGCACTGGTCAAGACTTCATCCTCCAGAGTGGCCGTCTTGTTCACCAGCTCGGCTTTTTGCCTGTTCAGAGCAGCAACACCCATGTTACAGAGTCAACACGTCACACACAACACCATTGCCAACGGTGGAGACGACAACAAGCCTTATAGCAATTCACACAGAGAGAGAGACAGACAGAAAGACAGACAGACAACCAGACAGATAGACAGACAGGCAGACAGATAGACAGACAGGCAAACAACACACACACACAGAGCAGGTGCAGCTTACTGTGTGGCCTGGAGCAAGCGTCGCCGTAGTTCATGTACTTCATCCATCAGGCTTCTCATCTTGTCCTCGGCAAGAGTGCACCGGCCTTTCACCTAGCAACAGCAATCAACACAGTAGAGTGTGTGTGTGTGAGCGTGTGCACATTCCGAAATGAGCATGCATGTGTTTGTGATGGTGTGCATGGATACACGTATACAAATATGCGTGTGTTTGTGTACGTCTGTGTGTGTGTGCACGCGTGCGTGTTTGTTGTTCGTGCACGTATGTGCATGTGTGTGTGTGTGTGAGCTTCCATGCATGCGTGCATGCACACACGTGTATGTGTGTACACGTGTATGTGTGTGCATGCATGACTACAGTACCTCTTCCAGTTCATTGGATAGCTTGACGACAGACACGCGGCCGGTGTCCCGTTCGTGTGTAGCCGTCAGTAGCTGCTCCTCCAGGGCCATCAACTCTTTCTGAGACACAAGCAGGCTGGATGAGATGCGATTCAGCTGTGACATGAACAATAGACACAGGAACAAATTCCGAAGCAAAACGTGCGTCTAGGAATGGCCTTACACAAGCTGCAAGTGTAGCAATGGAACTAGGCTGAAAAACGTTTTTACTCGGGTCTTCATGGTTGCCTCCTGATATGGAGCATTTTTTTGCAAAGGATTTAGCAACACAGCCCGTGTAGCAATTACCCTCCACAGTTACTGTGCGTAGGGGCTAACACCACTGATGCCCCCCCCCCTTCTCCTACCCCCAACACTGCCCAATATGCAGAACAGGGGATAGCAAGCAATCACTGTACGAGACTGTAATGCCAGTTTTCTCATGCAGCCTGATCAAGGGCCAGTATTATGCACAATGTTGACTGTACACCGGTATTGTCCAATGCAGGACGGCCCGGAGCAGTTTTTGATTGGTCCTGCAGTAACAGTGCCTTTCATACCGTATTTACCCGAATATAAGTCGCACCTTTTTACACTAAAATTCAAGGGTAAAAAGGGGGATGCGACTTACAATCGAGCATGACTTACTACGTACTGACGTGAATATATCCAAACTGGCTCAAACCTGAAAATGGAGGTGCGACTTACAATCGAGTGCGACTTACAATCGAGTGCGACTTACAATCGAGTGCGACTTATAATCGAGTGCGACTTATAATCGAGTGCGACTTATAATCGGGGAAATACGGTACTTTGTGTATGACATGGTGGGTACACATGCCCTCCACAGTGGTAAACACACGTTGATGGCCGACAAATTGGTCCGGTGATAACCTGACCAACCGGACCACTTCCGGCAGGCCTGCAACGCGCCCAGCATGATGATACGCACAGGGTGGCATTGTCAACCTGGCACGGTACCTTGTCACTGGTCGTCTGGTATTCGGCCGTCAGCCGTGCGTTCTCGATACGCAGCGCGCTGACGTCGCTGCGCGTCTGCTCTCCGTCCTTGTTGGCGGTGGATACGCGTTCTTTCAGGGCAAACAGTTCACCGTCCTTTGACTCCAGTTGCTGTGTTACAAAGATTAAAAATTCACAATAGCGGCTTGCTTACTGGAGAGGAGAGGTAGAGGCATACTAAATTGGCCCATTCACAGTGATTCCGTATCATCTAGCTCCTGCCTCCATGGTGTGAGGTCATAACAATGCCCAATACTCTGCTGTATGACAAACTTGGTGGGATTATGCGGCACTCGGATATGCAGCGAACCAACTGGCATACTTGAACAAAATCGCACAGAAAGTGGATTTGGACCTCCGATATTTTCGCGATATAGGCCTTAGCTACCTTGACTTATTATCTTTAGGGAATATGATGTTGTTGGAAGCTACACGAGAAAAGGGCCAATGTTCAAATCACAAAGGCATGACATTGGACAAAACTTTGACTCTGAGTAGCTACATCGCTCCAGTCAAACAAATCTCCTCATGCGGCATACAGAGCACATGCACAATATAATGTGAGGAAGAACAAACGCATAGTATCGTGTGGGTCTATGACATCGGCAACTCGACAACCAAATACTGCAGCAGTAATGATTCTCCCCATTTTACCTGATCAGATCCCAGCGTACGCACAAACACCCCCCCCCCCCTCCACACACACACATGCACACACACACATGCACACACACACATGCACACACGTGCACACACGTACACACGTGGACACACACACACACACACACACACACAGAAAACGCACCTCTAACGCCTGCTGCAGCTGCATGGTCTCGGCAGTCATGCGGAAGTTCACCGTCGTCAGCTCGTGCTCCAGCCGTGCCTTCACATCGGCGAGGGTTTCCACGGCCTCTCGCTCCTTTTCCTCCGCTCTAGCTCGTCTAACTGACTCCTCCTGCATATTGGAGTTGAGCAACTGGAGACGGGCAAGGAGGTCGAGACGGATCGGCGTCGATGGTTTAGTTGGCGACTCTGGCCGCGATGATGCAGGTGTCTGTAGGTCAAAGGAAGTAAAGGATGGAGGTACATTTGTAGTCGCACTTGTAAGGAGGCTTCAAACAGAGCCTTCACTGCTATGGTTTTGGAACATTGTCACCATTCATCTCGCCTTATCATATGGAATTTAGCTTCGTAAAATGGCAGTTGACACATGCTGAGCAAGACATGCTCTATCTATACTACCGAAGTAGCTGCAAACAGTGAGAGAGCTGCATGTGAAGGCTTCAAACCATTGTCCTTGGAATGTGTGCTCGCGCGATTGAACACTGTGAAATGCAACCGGTAAAGCACCGGCACGGTATTGGTGTACTGCACATAACTCCCTACAGCATCGAAGGAGCCTCCCTTTGATATGCCCCTCTTCTACCTCGCCCCGCGGAATATTTCCCTGTATTGATCCTCCTCTGTGGGGTATCAATAACATACATCCTGACGTAGACACCTGTCATCTGCTCTCAGCTCTTGTCCACACCTTACCTTGGTGATATTGTCCAGGAAGTCACTGGAGCTCTGCAGTTGTGACTGCAGGCTGTTCACCCGACCCTCCAGATTACGCTGGTTACTGCACCGTGCAGGCAAAGAAAAGTACAGGATGCAACAAAAATCTCACAAAATGCACAATGTACAGTGAAACCTGCGTATGACGGCCGCTCAAGGGACCTCCAAAATGTGGTCTCTGTAACCAGGTGCTCTCCTTATCCAGTTCCATGCCATTTGACTGGAAATAGCATCCCTTGGTCCTCGCTGCAGTGCATGGTCTTCCTGGACAGGCGGTCACCTTAACCGATTGGTCGCCCGGACAGGTTTACTGTATAATCTTCTGGCATCAAACCCTGGCAGATGGCCAAACCGTGTGAACATGATGGCAGCTGCTCAATATGATCAGCCTATACCGTAACAAATATGTACAAGGCACACACAGACAAAGACAGACAGACAGACAGACAGACAGACAGACAGACAGACAGACAGACAGACAGGCTGGCAGACACACAGTTAGGAAGACAGATAGACAGACAGACAAGCAGCCAGACAGACAACCAGACACACACACACACACACACACACACACACACACACACACACACACACAGCCAGCTCACCTCTCCATGTCCTCCTTATAGTGTCCATACTCCACTTCCACAAAGTTCAACTGCTCTTTTATTGCTGCAAGGGACTCTGCCGATACGACGACCTCCTAGCATGGGAAAACCAATTAAGAACACACAGTGTACATGACATGTACAGTCGACTTCACTACTAACGACTGCGGATATGACGACAATTCGCGAATAACGACTGCGGATATAACGACAATTCGCGAATAACGACAGAATTTCCATGCCCAGAGCAAAGTCCCATCCAACTGTAACACATAATAATGAGACTTCTGGTATGACGACACTTCGCGAATAAGGACACTTCGCGATGCCCCGCCGAGTGTCGTTATACGCAACGTTGACTGTACATGTATCATGCATAAGGACCTGTATCCTACCTACCGCTCCCAGGTGTGCGTGTGTGGATTTTGTTATATAAGAAACCTACAGACATGTACTTGAACTTCATTCCTCAGCTCCAAGAACGGCCTCTTTACTGCGGATCAAATCAATTTATCTTACACCAATTTTTCAGGGCTAGTCCACCATCAACGTGAATACAGTACTGCTAAAGAACTGGGGGAGGGGTTAGCCTCCTAGCCTAGACCGTTATTATTTTCATGCTGCACTACAGTCTACGCACAATTGAGTCACTGTGTATACATCGGTATGCTGTAATTGATGAAACCCTAGCCTGACCGTTCTTCGGCGCCCGGCAGTACTGTACATGCATTGGAGTTGAGGAGTGAAGTTGCAGGCATATGCAGGAGGCTATGTTGATTGGTCTCCGAGTCACTGCTAGCTGGATGCACCAGGCTAGATTACAACTAACAGAGGGTACGCGAAAAGGAGATGACAAACCTGGGGAAAATAGAGGACAGATACCCCGGCATTGTGGAAACAATTTTAGCTCAAGTTACAATGAACAAGGGATGGAGACCAGTTAGAAAGGGGTTCGCTTCACACAGAAGATAGCATGAAGGAAGGGTTCCTTGGCGTTTTCTGTACAAAGCACACTCGCTGGGGGAAACATGATATGTTACCGTGGGAACTACATACGTGCTGTAGAGTGGCGTATTCCTTCTTCAGATCATCACATTCCTGTTCCTGATTCTTACTGGCCTGCTCCAAGTCATGAATATAGTCAGACATCAAGTCAGATGGAATGGCAAAGAGGTAGATAGATAGAGAGAGAGAGAGATAGAGAGAGAGAGGGGTGGGGGGGGGGGGTGGGGGAGAGACACACACATACAGGTTCACATAATTTGCATGCAAGTCATGTGCACACTCAAACTCCCCCCCCCCCCCCCCACACACACCATATCAACACCAACATACTCGCATGCACCATGCCCACACCATGCACACACACGCCCGCCTGCACACATGCTTACGCACACAAAACCCATGCACAACTAGTATGCTATAAAGCAGCATGCATGCATGCATAAGCAACCGTCTGATCAACCCACTAGCACACCAAGTTAAGATAACGTTTGCATGGTGGATCTTCTGTTACTAGTGAGCTTGGCTTGTAGCGAGGAAAACAAACTGACTCCATGCTCTACTCTGCAGCATGAATGCATGGCTAGTGGTGACATTCTAGTTATACAATACCATGTGAAGTTCATCCACCGTCTGTAGAGGGCTCAATTTGCCGAAAGCGAAGAGCGGACTACACAGAATCGATCATCAGACAAACATTTTCATTTTCGTCTGATGATCAATTTAGTTCGTGAAACTCAGAGATGCGAAAAAGCCACTGCTCGTTCTTCTGTCGTCGTGTAATTATGTCTGACGATTTTCATTTTCAGAGTTTTTATTTTTTATTTTTTACTATTGAACACTCACTGCATGATGAACTAAAATGAGGGGAAGAACTCGACACAAGGGTACATATCCAGCAGAGTATAAAGGTCTTGTTGTCTGGCTATCTGGTGGCGGCGTTCCTACGGATGCGGAAAACTTGGCCTCTAGCCGAGTCTGACGCGAACCGTGAACTATTTTTTATTTTTTTTTATCTGGCGTACCTGTTTGGCACTATCCCGTGCCTTTTCGGCCTGCTTGAGTTTGGTTTGTAGCACTTCGATCTCTGCTATGGACTTGCTCTGGCCGAACGACACACCACTCTGCCGCATTGTATTCAGTTCACCCCTGTCAGGCAGCTCAAACAGAATATGTATCCACACACACACACACACGTACACACACAAGACATGCACACACACACACACACACACACGCGCACGCGCGCACACACGCACACACACACGTACGGACACAGGCGTGAGCAGACATGCGAAGAACAACTCAAATTTCCCGCTGGCGCACAGCAACACCTAGTTGATGAGCTAGTAACGTCAGCTATGAATGATCACAATTGCTACATATAGTCGTGGCCGGAAGAACTCCAACCCATGAGTAGAAAGCACCGCCAAGGCTTGTGTGGCCCCAGCAGCCCTCGCATGAGTTTTCGGACTGTGCCTGATGTCATTGAAGTAGATCCGTGGCACTACTTTCTCCTCGAGGGTCGGAATTCTATGGGCATGACTGTACCAAGGCAACTCTGAGCATATATGTACAGTCGACATCACTCATAACAAATTCGCATATAGGAAATTTGGTGATATAACAAACCGTTGTCCATGTCCCAATTCGAACCCACAGTGTAATTGCATTTCTGTTACAACAAACTTTGCCTGTAAAGAACTAATTCTCCTGCACAATGGTGTGCGTTATATCAAGTCGATTGTATGCTTACCGCAGTGCCAGCTCTGTTGTGTTCTTCTCTTCCAGTTGCTCGGTCAGCTTGTCACAGCGCAGCTCTACCTCCTTCAGCCTGTCTTGGTGTTCGGTGTACCAGTTCTCCCGCGTCAGCAGCACCAGCGCCGCCAGTTCCTTCAGACGCTGTCCGCTGTCTTCTGGTAGCGTGATATCTGAGCATTGAAAGAATATTATCCCATGGTGGGACGATTTCAGCCAATCAGCATGATATCTGAGTATTAAAATAATAGTATGAAGAACGGGATTTTAACGTTCCATGTGAAACTTCAGACTCAGCTCTTTGCATCTGTAGAAAAGCGATGGGAGGTAAGTACTGTCTTGTTCGATGAAATCCAAAAGCGTGAATCAAGCTTGCGCCCTGCACCAGTTCGCATCCCAGTGTTCGCAGGTCAAGCACTGCACAGCGCCCGGCATGGCATTCACTCGCAGCAGCAATGCACTGTTGAACAGGGTACATAACCATACCCAAGTGGTTGTGTGGGGTGTTCGCGGTACAACCTTTTTTGGAGCGTAATGGCCATAACCACTGCATTGCATTTTGCGAAGTGACCTCCATATGCAAGGCAGTGCAGAAGATCGGTCAATGTTCATATATTTCGCATGGTGCAACCCGCTTTTGGAGAGACGGCTCCAAAGCATCCTAATAAACGTAAAACAGAGTCCAGAACTCACTGGAAAAAAAAATAAGCAATTGGGTACTGTTTCACTGTGTCTAGCCAGAGGAGCTACCATAGGTTGTGCCATCACAGCATCAGTTGAGATGTTTTGGCAAATCTGCTGTGCAGCGCTCGCTAGCGATTCACTAGCGACTCACTGACATGACACGGCGACCACGAGCGGTTTCGCTGTATACCTAGCACCCATAAGCGATTCCAGAAATCTGCTAACTCATCATTATGCTGTCTTTCACACACTGTAAATCATTTATAATTATGTCGTAGTCGTTTCAATTTCGTAAATCTCGTTATGCTCCCGCCACTTTGACTTACAAGACTAAAACGCTTACTTAAAATTCGTCACACTCACTGTACTGTACTGTATGCATGTATGTAGCGGCCCCGCGGCCCGATCGATGGTAATTACGAAAGTTTGATGGCTACAAAGTGTTCTCTTTCTCAGTTAAGGAGTATTATTAGCTTACGAAATATAATTGATTTACCGTAACCTCCATACTTACCGAGATCTTCTCCGATCTTGCGCGACATCATGCGGTGCAGCACGGTATGCAACGCCGACCAG